ATTCATAATGGCATAAATTGTAGTCATATGAGGGTTATTAGCCTTGAAGAAAAACAACAACAAACCCTATCGGCTGGAATTGCCATCTCAGACGCTTCGGATTTCGGATGAGGGGGAGGGGGCATTTTGCGCTTCCGCTGTTTCCCATGGTCGCGTTGAGACATCAAGTAGGAGATAAGTGAAACCTTGTGGTACCATGACGTGATACTTTCAGGTATGCCTTCGGAGACTGCTCAAGCCATTTGCAGCATTCTGATGGGTAACGTATTGGTCCTTTTTCCACGTCTACGGTTTTGTTTCGCTCATGGAGGAGGTTCGTATCCGAGCATTGCTGGACGAGTTGCTCATGGCTACAAGGTTTGTTTGTACTTTATCAGCAAGAAGGTAAAAGTGTTCATCAGGACAAAAATAGGTGGAACGGACGCAAAGCCACTCCCCGATAGCCCGCCCACTTTGCTGGGTTACACCAGTAAAAAGAGTCAGAAAGCTTGATTGGTAGCAAATTACAACACATGCAAGTGGATGCCGCCAATAACATACGGTGACATGGAGCTACACTTTTCCGTAGTCCCACCCACCGCAAATAGCGACAATTGATATTTTATTCGGACAACAGAGCTCGTATTTGGTGAAGGGGGTCGTATATTGCTGTGAGAAATCTCTCTTCCCTCCTCCCAGATTTTTTGAAAAGTTGGGAAGACTACACAGTCTTGTTCGCTACGGATGATAGGGCGTGTCAAGGGTAGTGGGTTTGGCCTAGCGCCAGCCCATTTTTTTCGCTTTTTTTGACAAGACTGTATCATATCGTTCGTATCAGTCTTTTTCCACCAGTTGCTTTCGCCTATCCGCTTTAGCTGGTAGAGAAAGGGCTGCGGCCTCACTGACACGCCCCCTTCATCCAGAACAAAAGCGTATGTAGAAGGGAAAGGCGTGGTACCAGAGGAGGACATTAGGGAGAAGGTCGTGTTCTGCGGAAACTTTCAAAGTGATGGTGTCCTCCTGGTAGAGGTCGCGATTGAGTGAAGCGCTGTGTCTTCTACGGTAATTTTTTTCTCCTCTTGGGTAGAACCGTCTACTACACAAACTGTGTCAAGTTGATGTTGTACAATCGAATTGCCTTGCTCAGTTAGCTTTTTTACTTGTCAAGCTGTTTATCTTTTACTTTCAGGTTCGCCCTGATCTCTGTGCGACTGACTGCGCAACGAGTCCACGTGAACTTCAACATCTTATATGGACAGATTCTCTTGTACACGATCCGACTGCTCTTCATCTTCTAGTCAACACCGTGGGAAAAGTGAGCGATTTTTTCCTATTATTTACTCACTACATTGTATGAGGACAGCAACTGCATCGAGAGGCCGTACATCGTTTTCCCGAAAGCGAGATGGCATGTGAGGAGTTGTCGGATTGAAGCGCCAGCCAGGGCAGCCTTCTCATCAGGGGGGATGCGAGCTCCGAGTGGCTCAACTGGGTGGAAAAGCCATCCTGGTTGCCGCCATCTAATCTACGCCCTCATGACCCACTGTTTGCAGCCGTAATTGACTGTACACAATTACATGGATTTTAGGTTTGGGTTGCACTGAACAACTTAACCTTGTGCAGCTCGATGGTTCTGTAATCGCTTCATGTGAGAAAAGTCCGGGCAACGCCACGCGGCGGCCCCACCTCCTCACGTCATGTCTGCTCGTCTGCACCCTCTCGCCGATGCAATGACCCAAATGGTCTTGAATAGTGTCACAGGGGCGCGATAGGTTTGCGGGAGCCGCAAGGGAGCCTAGCCACATCATGTTATCTAGGTGAGAGCAGGGCCTCATTAGTGAGGATTTAGTCGAGTCCGTACGACCCGCCCCCCCCCCCTTTTTTTTGTAAGAGTTGCTACGGCTTACCTGGTTCCCTCCTCATGCAGCTGTCGAACAGGGGGGGAGGAGGGCGCAGTACAAAAGAAACAGGAAAAAAATCACGGAAAGTCAGAAAGCCAGCAACCTTCTAGGTCACAAGGGAAATACGCCCCCTCTCATCGCAACAATGAACAAATACGACCCCCCCCTGACAATTCCGTGCAAGAAAAATCGTCGGCACTATCCAACTATTATCACCCCAAAAAGTCACGAAAATTTTTTGCTGTGAAACTCTAACCACAGAGGTGATTTTGTGTCCTCACGAATATAGCACTCGTTTTCGGCGCTGGCACTGAACTGGCCTAATTGACGCCAGTTGGCGCCACCACTTTCTCACCAAATTCGGTGTAAATTTGCGTAGTAGGGTTATTTAATGTCCTGATCACGAATACCGAATTAGTTTTCGGCCTGACGCCATTTGGCGTCATTAGACGCTGATTTAGCGCCACACCCTTTTTTATCAAAATCGATAAAAACCTGCATAATGGGGTTGTTTGATGCCCTGATCACGAATATGACATTTATTTTTCGACGCCAGCGCCATTTAGCGCTTTTCTAAGGCTGAGCCTGGGAGAAAGAGTGATTTCCTTCAGGTCAGGCTCAGCCTTAGCAGAGCGCAGATGATCGCAGCGTCTTCCATCAGCGCCAGCGCCAAAAATGAATGTGATATTTGTAATCAAGATGTCAAATAACCTCCGTATACAAGTTTTCAGCGGATTTGGTGACCTAGGGTATTTGGCGCCGGCGCCTGTGGCGCGGGCGCCAGGCAGGTTTCAGGCCGAGCGGATGTGATATTCGTGTTCAGGAGGTCAAACTACCCTTGGACAAGTTTTCAGCGAATTCGGTGATTTAGGTTTTTGGCGCCGGCGCCTGTGGCGCGGGCGCCAGGCACTTTCAGGCCAAGTGGATGTGATATTCGTGTTCAGGAGGTCGAATTACCCCTAGAACCCAACTTTCAGCCAAATCTGCCCCGTAGAAAAAAGTCGATCAAGATCCGGCCTGTTTCGGAAAATTGGGGTAGTAATAGTTGAATAGTGCTGGAAAAATCAACTATTATCACCATCAATTTTTCTCAGCCCAAATACGACCTCCCCCCTCCCAGCGACCAAATACGACCCCCTTCCCGTTAGGAAATCCCCAACAACGATGAGTAAAGAGGTGAGTAAAGCATTTCAAAACGTGTCACAATGTCTCGTCGAGAGGGTGCAGATGAACAGACGTGACAGACGGCTCAGCTCCGCTACAGAGTGACTTTCTCCAAAGACGCATACGCCAGATGATTTCTCGGCAGACACATAGGGCCGGATGAAGGCATTCTACAGAAATCGGTCGCGAGCTAGGTGCAGTTCAGGCGCTAGTGATTGACGTCGAAAACCGGACGCCAGCTCGCACCCCCGGGCCCTCCGCTTATTTCAGTCTTGTGCCCCGCGAGTTACACTCATAATCCCTGAACAGGGCACACATCATTGATTGGGGATTTTGGTCAAGTCCGTACAGCCCACCCACTGGGAGGTGGCTTGGTAAGAACCCCCTCCCCTAGCTCTCCTCTGAAAAGATCGAGTCGTCGAGCGAGGTGGGAGGGGGTGGGGAGGGGGGTATATGACACATGTGAAACAGAGGTACAGGAGAAACCGCAAAAAGTCAACAACCGGGAGATATTTTTCGCAACACCACAAATTACTCCCAGAAGGCGAATACGAACCCCTTCCCCGCAGCGACCAAATACGACCCCCCCCGGTTGGAGAATCCGCGAGTCCCCAACAATCGTGTGCCCTGTCCCTCTTGAATTGAACGTGACGGCGGCCACGAATTTTCTTGAGATATTTTGATTTTGGGACAGTTGTATTCACATCTTTGTCCAACACGGAATAACATGATAGTTGTTTCAGTGTTTCATCCCACTAAACTCATCCTATGCGACCCTGGACCCATCCTAACGCCACGCCCACCCCGTCTCATTGTCACAGATAAGGGGTGTAAGTTGTGTAGGATCGA